CTCCCACTTAACCACCACCCTCATCTCCAAATTCTCCTTTTCTACGAGATCATTTCCAACAGCACACAAATCTGTCTCCTGTCTTAAAAAAAACAAATAACCCCTCATCTGGCTTCATGCTTCTCTCCTGATTCTTTGATCCTGTGTGGAGCAAAACTCCTTGAAAGACTTGTCTAAACTCACTGTCTTTGCTTCCTCACCTCCGATTTTCTCCTCAACTGTAGCCAATCTGGTTTTCGTTTTCAGCCCCTCCGCTAACACTGCTTTTTCCAAGATTTCTAACAACCTTCATGTTACCAAATCCAGTTGTCAACACTCACTCAGACACCCGTGGTCACTCTTTCTGGAAACACTTCTGGTTCTCCACCTGCCCCCTGGCTGCTCCTTTTTGTATTTTCCATGCTGGTTACCCTCTAATTTTTTATCTTTCCGTATCGGGTATCCCAGGGCTTAGTCCTCTATCACCCTCTTCTGTCGTCACACTCTCCTAGGGTACCTGATTCAGTGCCATAGTTTTAAACACCACCACCTGCTGGTGACTCCAAAACTGGATTGTTTGGGGGTTGTTTTTGGTGTGAGTTTTATGTTAGGAATTTTGTATCTCAACCCCTTATCAGATGTAATGGTGACTATGTGCTCCCATTCAGTGGGCTGTCTTTTCATTTTGTTGATGGTTTCCTTTGCTGTGCAAAAACTTTTTAGTTTGAGGTAGTCCCATTTGTTTATTTTTCTTTTGTTTCCCTTGCCTGAGGAGCTATATCAGAAAAATATTGCTACAAGAATGCCTGAGCTTTTATTGCCTATGCTTTCTTCTAGGGTTTTTACAGTTTCAAGTCTAACATTTAAGCCTTTTATCCATTTTGAGGTTTTTCTTGTGCATGGTGTAGGAAGGTGGTCTACTTTCATGTGGGGCGGGGGCAAGTATCTATTCAATATTCTTAACACAATTTATTAAATAGATTATTTTTACCCCATTGTATGTTTTTGCCTTCTTTGTCAAGTATTAATGGACTATAAAGGTGTGAGTTTTCAGTATTTCCTTGAATGAAAGAGTAAATGAATCTTCAGAGGGGCAACAGATGAAATCCCAGGGATAGTTGCCAACATTGAGAGAAAAGAGGGCAAAGGGCAAATCTTTGGGGAAATGCTTAAACTGAGGGCAAAAGAGGCACTCCAAAGGAGGCGACATCTCAGCTCCAGTTAACTAGGCGTGAAGGGAACATAGCTCACATTGGGGAATCCTGCAAGGAAGGTGTCAAGCTGGCTCCTGTCTCTGCCCCGATTTGAAGCATGTTTTCAAATTGCAAACCTGAGCACACACCAAAAACCTGGACAGCCATGACAAATCAAGCCCAAGAGGTTGCTCCTGTTATCCCGAAAGTCTCACTGAAAAGTGGTTCAAACTCGTATCCCGAGGCCACAGCACTGGTTGGAGCACCACGGCCCCTGAGCTGTGACAAAGCTCAGCCCGGACACCCTGAGAACCCCTGGGGGCTGCTTGTGGCTTTCCTTCAGAAGTCAAGCCGTGGTTCTTAAGAAACAGTCAGATGACAGAGAGTGACCTCTTTTATTAGGTTCACCATCTTAGCCTCAGGGACGCCATAGTGTTTGTCCATAGCCGGAAACACTCAAAGGCGGTCGTGTTGAAAGAGGGCAAGCCTTCAGGTCTCTTTGTCGCCATTAATCCTGGTCCCGCTGGTCTCTCCCTTTTGCATCAGAAAAGCTTCCTTGTATTTTTTTTCAAGAGAAGGAGAAAACAGCTGTGTGGGATTTGAGAATGGGGTTTTAATGGTCACTGAAGACACACAAAAGCTTCGCTGCGATCACGAAGGGTTCTGGGGGCATGGACCGCATTGTCTGGGGCGGCCAGGCGCGCTGGCTGCCGGAGGAGAAAGGAACCAACCGGAACGTGAGGGAGCCGTCTTCGGGCCGGGCCTCGCACCTGTGCGGAGCTGACGTCAGGCTGCTCTTCACGGCGCTTCAGTCACGTGTCAGTGTTTGGCTCACTTTTACCTTGTGAAGAGAAACAGCTTAATGCGGAAGGTGCTTGGCCTGAATGATTTCTGGAAGGAAAAGGGAAACAGTGAGTTTGTTTATGGGACGCGGGCCTTCCACGGGGAGAGGAAAGAACCTCTTTTCCGCAGGGCAGCCCGAGGGGCATTCCCCGGCCCTTCGCGCGTTAGGAAATTGCAACAGATGTGGGATGTTGTGAGGCTTCTCACAATGTAACCGTGAAGCCCTGGCCGGTCTGGCTCAGCAGTTAGAGCGTCGGCCTGCGGTCCTGAGAGACCCGGGTTCGGTTCCCGCTAAGGGCACGTACCTCGGTTGCAGTTTGTCCCCGGCCCTGGTTGGTTGGTCGTGTGGGTGGCAACCACTTGATGTGTCCCTTTCACGTCAATGTTTCTCTCTCTCTTCCTCTCTCTCCCTCCCCCTCTATCTGAACAAAAAATGTCCTCGGATGAGGATTAAAAAAAAAAAAGTAACTGTGAAAAGGCTTTGGGGAGTTTAAATAGTTCTAAGGAGGACTGGACCCCAGAGCCCCAGGAGCCCCTCCAGTTAGTCTTTTCAGTGAGGACCAGGGCCGTTGTTGCAGCCCGTGGAGGGGTCAGCTTCTGCCCGAGGAACGAGGACAGAACAGAACAGACCACACCTGACTCTGAGTTCTAATTAATGGGGCTGTTGCAATCATTGCCATGAATGGCCACTTTCCCTCTAGGACCTAGAGTCTCGGTGAATGAATGTTATGAAAACAACTGTTCCCGAATGGAAATGTCTTGGGCCGGAGGGGTTCCAGACAGCCTAAGTTTTCTTAACTTTCTGCCAGTCTCATGACAGTCGGCTTGTTAGAGGTGTGAAGGGATTATTCTCATTTACTTGTCTGCTGTAGGCACCGGGATAGTCAGGTGGGACACAGGATAAAAAGCCATGAATTCTTAGTACATAATTCAGCCCAGCTATTCGGAGGAGATGAGCTGAGACCAGAGTAATTATGGAAACCATTATCCAATAGGGTTGCATTTGAGAATAGGTCTGGAATTGTAAGCTGGTCTGCCACAGAGCTCTGCATCATACTCATTGTACTGTTGTTTGCCAAGAAAGCAAGAGTTTGGTTCACTTTTAATTTTTTAAAAATCATAAAATTAAATAAAAATGATATGTGAATATAAAAGAAAACCCAAACAATTTAAGACTTAGACTTTAGAGTAGACCCTTATTGCTTGACTGCATTTAATTGTAGAAATGATATTTGCAATGTGGCTTCTTTTGGCTTACCATGATTTTTAAAAAGCCTCCTTTTTAAAAATTATGGAGTGATAATGAAAAGACATTTTTGTTACTGAAAATAAAGAACTTTGTCTTATTTATCCCTAAAAGTATATATGCTGATTGCATTTGTCGGATAGAATGAAAATAGATATTCCCTCTTACAGACACGCAAGAAGTATAACAGCTAATTTTATCATGTGATATCTTGTTTTCTATTTCTTGGTATCTGAAGTATAAAAGAGAATGTGTTTATTCCAGTCACACTTCCTCTAATGCCCCATAGAGAGTCCTTGACAAATTCTTGAATTGTTACTCTGTCTGCATTTTTGTTAAATGATCCTTTTCTCTCTCAAACGCAAAGCTCTTGATCTCACCTTAGGTGTATTTCACAGACTAGCTGTGGGAACTTGGCCAAATTATTTAAGGTCCCTAAGTCTGTGTTTCTGTAAAATGGAGTTAATAATAGCACCTAACTCCTTACCATTGGTTTTTTTTGTTTGTTTGTTTTTTTAGATAGAGTGGGAGGAAGAGAGAGAGAGAGAGAGAGAAACATTGAAACATTGACGTGAAAGGGACACATCGAGTGGCTGCCTCCAGGGCTGGGGATAAAATGCAACCGAGGTACATGCCCTTAGCGGGAACCAAACCCAGGTCTCTCTGGACCACAGGCCAACACTCCAACTGCTGAGCCAAACCGGCTAGGGCTCTTTACCATTGATTTTAGGGATAAATGCAGTAATGAGTGTGAAGCTCTTGGCATGGTAGCTCGTAGACTGTAAGTGCTGAACACATCTTAGCCATGAGAAAGGTTATTTTGATGGTTATGACAATAGTATTTGTATATTATAATAGGGAACTCAATTTAGTGTATTTACATTCATATCCTAAAATAAGATAAAAACCCGTAGTTCACCAACAACACCAGAAATATAATCAGAAGCATAGTTTATTGATTTCCTTGCAGTTTATTCTCCCAGGAGATATTGACAAGGGTTTAGTCTTTGTAACGTATTAATTGTATCACAAATATGAAGTGTAGTATTTTGAAGAGTTATCTGTAAGACCCTTGAGGTCACTCCCCACAGCCACCAGAGTGAGCTTTTTATAACACAGCTTCTGGTTGTATTCCTCTCCTTTCCATGGCTCCTTTACCTGCAGAATAAAATCCAGATACCTGGCATTCAAGAATCTCTGCAATCCATTTCCAACCTTCCTTTCTTCCCTCACCTCTCCTATGGTCTGCATGAATCTTTGCAACCTGCCCCTTTTCCTACCTGGGGAGATCCCACTCATCCTTCAAGGCCCAACACAAATGTGGTCTCCTCTAGGATGCCACCAACCAGAATTAAAAACACCTTCTTCTCTGTTCTTCCACTACTAGGCCTATGTTCAATGAATGATTTTCAACTTTTATCATCCTGGTGGTAGCCCTGTGAAGTAGGGAGAATCATCAAGTGCTTGTACTCAAAAATAATTAGGACCACTGTGATCCCTGCCTCGGGCCCATGGTCTAGGGAGAGAAGAACTGTGAACACCTCTAACGGTGGGCGACAGGGATCACGATAGAGGGGTATGCCCAGAGAACCCAGAGGTGCCGCACATTCTGTATTCGAGGGGTTAGGACAAGGGAGCGTGTGGTCAGTGCCATCTGTTTTCTGCATCTCTAGCTCTCACATTTGTCCTTCCTTGGCCATCGTCCCCTCACTGACCAGATTGTTTCCCCCTTTGGCTAGTCAGTTGCAGGGCTGGGACATATTATGATGGATCACAGGAACGCTGCATTGTCTGTCCAAATGGAACCTTCCAAAATGAGGAAGGACAGATCACATGTGTACCGTGCCCAAGACCAGAAAACCCTGGGGCCCTGAAGACCCCAGAAGCTTGGAATGTGTCTGAATGTGGAGGTAAGGATTTGCCTGCCCCTGCTTACCCTTCCAGTCTCTAATGTCATCATTCGGACAGAAGGCATGGTGCACGTCAGAAGGGACAGTGCACACTGTGCCTGGGCTTCCACGAGCCCGGCCATGTTGGGTTCCTCTTTGGCTTTTCAGTGCCTAGCTCGGTGCCTGACGCAGACTGGGACATGCTCACTTGAATAAACAAATGAAGATCTGATAGAATACACTGGCTGGAGAAAAGGTGGAAATGTTGCAATTGCATGTTTTATTCGCTATAAGTAAATAAACCCTGAGATCACAGTGAGTGATCTCCCAGCGCTCAAATGGAGAAAGTAGTTTTGATTCTTTTTCCAGCTTTGGTCTCAAATTCATAGTGGATTGATTTTTAAAAAGTGTCCAGCTGGTTATTTTGTTAAAAGCTCTGTGTAGAGTTTTTAATTGTCTCTTATAAAATGTTTTCTGGAGCCAAGCTCACTTAGGTTCAGTGGGCTTCTTGTTTATTTTCTTAGTAAACTAAATGACAGCTCCTTTATTATATGGAAGAAAGACCAGCTGTACTGGCACTGGGCCCCAGTGGAAGGTGTGATCTGACGTGGTGATGTCTGTGGAAGGGAGCACAGGACCCCGGGCAGCCCCTGCCTCTCCTTCCAGCGACTCCCCAAACCAGCTTTAGTTCCCACCTGAATGGCTCCAGACTCAACTGCAGCACCTTTTCTGGTTTAAAAATCAGGTCCTCGGGTTGAGTGTGACTCCTACCATATCTTTGGGCTGTGAGGTTGGTAGGGAGGCACTTCGGAGCATCTGTTCACACTTGTATGTGACCTTATAAGATACATTCAAGGTACTAAGAATATTAGTAGTAGTAATACTAATTGCTAACATTTATTGAATATTTACCTATGCCAGGCATCATGCTAAGTGTATTACATGAATTTTCCATGTGGTTGAATCCCTTTATGAGGTTAAAGTGACTTATTCAAGGTCACACAGACAAGGAGTAGAGGATTTGGAATCAGATGCCAGGTCTGCCAGACTCCAGATTCTCCTTTGGGGCTGTGTCTGTTAAATGCCATTATATCTCTAACTTACGGGTAGAAAGAAGACCGTGAAAATTAATAGAGGAGAGAGGGTTAGGAATACAAGAGACAACAGATTTTTATAGCATCTTGCCAATGACAAGCTAATTCCTAAGGAACATGTACTTTTAGAAATCCTTTTGTTTTGGGCTGTGCTTGTCATTAACTTAAAAAGAAAAATACAGTAAGGTGCTTAAAGTAAGGCCACTGGGTCCCTCTGTCAATGTGGACTGGGTTGCTTGGGTTGAGTAGATTGATTGAGGGAGGCCAGGACACACCTGAGCGTCAGGAGATGTCATTTAGTAAATATAGTTGGTAAAACTATCACTAGAATGTAATCAGCTGGGTGAGGGTGTATGTCTGGGCTGAAAATCTCATTGACTTGAGAGAACCCTCTCTTTGGGCGCTTCTGTGTTGCAGGGGCTGCCCAAGTTCCCTGCAGTCCTAAGCCTGCAGCACACCCAGGCCCCTGCTTTGGAAGCAGTTGTCACTTGGCTCCTTAGTCTCCATCTTTGCACTGTGCTGTGTAGCCTCTAAACATCAGGCACTCATGAGCTCCTACTCGGGTTCAGCAGCAGGGCAGGACAGGGCTTCTCCCTGAGATGGGAGCTGAGGTCAGCACAGTGCAACAGGCCTGCCCGAAGTCTGACCTCTGCAGAGATATGGGAAAGGGTCTGGCCTGTGAGCCTTGCTCACCCAGGGTCATTGGTTTCCCAGGTCTGTGCCAACCGGGCGAATATTCTGCGGATGGCTTTGCACCCTGCCAGCTCTGTGCCCTGGGCACATTCCAGCCTGAAGCCGGCCGGACTTCCTGCTTCTCCTGTGGGGGAGGCCTCCCCACCAAACACCTGGGAGCCACTTCCTTCCAGGACTGTGAAACCAGAGGTGATGACGTGGCGGCTTGCCTTTTTCCAGAACTGAATTTCCCTTGGGAGAACCATGGGAGTCTGATAAAGCTTCCATCAAGCCCAGCACAGAGGTGCCCCAGTGGCCGGGTCAGGTCCTGCTTGTCCACCCTTGCAGGATGTGTAGGAAGCATGGGACATCCCAGCCATGGTCTCCCCCCTGCCATCTGGGCCCCTTCAGACAGGGCTGACTTTAGGGACAACCAGGGAGAAACGAGCAGGTGTACACACAGGTTCCTCAGCTTCTTCCTCCCAGCCTTCCAACCTCAACGCCCTCACCTAGCGCTGCACCGCCCCTGAACCAGGGCCTAGCTCCTGCTGCCTCTTGCAGAAACCCAACTCCACACCAGTGTCAGTTCCGCACCCTCAGTGCGCACTCGTGTGCTCTGCGGGAAGACTGAGTCCTGACTGTTTACGCCTGACAGCACGGACCATGGGCCCTTTGAAGATACACCTGTGCTTCGTTCCTTTTGCATTTTCTCAGCAACATGAGTCACAAGTCCTGCTCCAGCTGGCTATTTAGGGAATTAAGTGTTGATTAGCCCCAGATTAGTAAGAAAACAGTACTCCCTTTGGGATAAAAATTTATTACGCTAAGTCTGAAACCTTTTATGTTGCACTGGATGAAAATAGTCTTTTTTTTTTTTTTTCATTCTCTCCACCCTCCCCACCCCACAGTTCAATGTTCACCTGGACATTTCTACAACACCACCACTCACCGATGTATTCGTTGCCCAGCAGGAACATACCAACCTGAATTTGGAAAAAATAATTGTGTTTCTTGCCCAGGAAATACTATGACTGACTTTGATGGTTCCACAAACATAACCCAGTGTAAAAGTAGGTCTCTCTCTAAGGCTTTGCAATTCTGATTAGGAGGGCAAGTGCCTGGGTCCACCCTGGGGTGGGGTGGGGTGTGTGCGTGCATGCGTGTGTGTGTGCACCAAGTGTCTATGCTTCTTGCCTTTTGTGCCAGAGGTGAGTACCCTGTTGGCCCCATACTGACCGACAGCTACTCGGAATTCTCTTTCCCACTGAAAGATAAACGTGGTCTTGACCAGAGAGAAAAGGGAAGAAATGGCCGTCATGCCTTCCTCAGAGACCCTAGGAAAGGGTCAGGTAGCCTCTGCAGAGCCTTAGGCTCTGCTCTCCCCACGTTGACAGGCCTGGGAGTTCTGTCGTGGTTCCCCTGACACTTGCGCTTGGTAAACTAAGTTGTCCTTTGTTTCACAAACGCCTGCCCCTGACGCTTTCAAGTGAAGGAGAAAACAGTGCTTGGACTCAGAGGGGTGGACGTTGTGTGCGGGGTTTCCGGAGGGGACCCTGGGCGGTACAGGACACTCACTCCCAGGCGGCGTCATTTCCAGGCCTCGATGGCCACAGGGAGGCAGTAGTTCTCCTCAGCCGAGCTGCCGGCGGCCTTGCAGTGTGACTGTGGTGCCTTCGTAACTCACGGCCTTTCCTCTTCCAGACCGGAGGTGCGGAGGGGAGCTGGGAGACTTCACGGGGTACATCGAATCCCCCAACTACCCGGGCAATTACCCAGCCAACACCGAGTGTACATGGACCATCAACCCACCTCCCAAGCGCCGCATCTTGATTGTGGTCCCCGAGATCTTCTTGCCCATAGAGGACGACTGCGGAGACTACCTGGTGATGCGGAAAACCTGTGCGTGCTTCCCCTCTGCTCCCCACTTCTAAAGCCAGCTGGGGAGCCTTATGGCATGCTCCCAGCTTTCAGTGTGAGAGCCAGGCCTAGAATGTCACCTTTGTATTAGAACAGAGAGGGGACAGCAGTTTTTAGAGTTTGCCAAGAACCCCACATTGAGGTCGCTTGCCAAACCCCAGAGGTAGTGGGGTCTGCAGGTCAGTCTTCCCCTCTGTGACTGCTGGCCCCAGACACTTGCCTCACCCTGGGAAGCAACTCATAGCTTGGGGACTGACCAAGGCCAAGAGCATGATCCAGCCAGATGACCCCCTCCCATCCTGACACCTGACCCAGGGTCCATAGGAAACTGCCATTCACACAGTTGGAGGCAGTGTGCTAAGCGGGCTCTGCAGCCTGGAGGCCTGGATCTGAGGCCCAGCTCTACCCCTTAAGGGTTCTGTGGTCTTGGACATACATTCTGGATTTTCTGTGCCTCATCTGTTAAAATGGGGATAATAGTCCTGGCTGGTTTGGCTCACTGGTTAGAGCATCGGCCTGCAGACCAAAGGGTCACAGGTTCACTTATGGTCAAGGGCATGTACCTGGGTTGCAGGTTTGATCCCCACCCTGGTCTGGGTCATGGAGGAGACAACCAATCAATGTGTCTCTGTCACATCCATGTTTCTCTCTCCCTCTCTCCTTCCCTTCCACTCTCTCTAAAAATCAATGGAAAAATATCCTCAAGTGAGGATTTTTTAAAAATGGGGATAATAATGGTTGCTACCTCATAGAGTTATCAAGAGAAATAAATCAGTTCATAAACGTAAAGCAGAAAAATGCTGACACATGGAGCCACTGTGGAAGTATTTGCTATGCTTGCTGGTGGTTACAATGTCTGAAGTCAGGTGTGGGTTTGAATCCTGAATTTTCCACATACCGGCTGTGTGACCCTGGTCAGGTAACAACAGTATGAACGTCCCACGGTTTTCAGAGGACTAGTGGGATAAAGTTTATAAAGGACGTGGCACACTGCCCAGTCCTGGGAAGCACACAGTAGATGGTGGTGACAGCTACTGGATTGCGACAGGTCAGCTCTGATGGAAGGGCCCCTCCTCAGCTCCTGCACTGAGCGCTGCACCCTGGGCTGCTGCTGTTTGCCTGGCCGTGGCCTTTTAGTCAGCCTCCCTTGGGGGCCCACATCACCAGATGTGTCTACTCGATTTCCAGGTCTTTGGCCCGTATGCTGGTTCAGCTGGGCCCGAAGAGCTCTAGAGCATAAACTGTTTTACAGTGTGAGCATCTGAAAAGATGAGTGTTCATTGCCTGCCTACTCAGTGATGAGGCTTGAACCCCACCCCCTCCAACTTCCCTTGGCAGCTTCGTCCAATTCTGTGACAACATACGAGACCTGCCAGACCTATGAACGCCCTATCGCCTTCACCTCCAGATCAAAGAAGCTGTGGATTCAGTTTAAGTCCAATGAGGGGAACAGTGCCAGAGGATTCCAGGTCCCGTACGTGACATATGATGGTAAGCGCTGTGCAGCTCAGGCTGCCATCTCTGCTTTGAACAGAACCAACTTCTGGGCCGGCTGGTGGATTGCTGACACACACACATGCTCAGAGATCAGGCAGGATAAGGGGAAAGGGCATCGCTGACTCACAGGTGCCAAATTTTAAACAGGCATTTGGGACACGGACTCCAGGATGAAACGATGTTTTAGAAAAGAAATAAAAGCGAGCATGTATTTCCTTCTACAGCTCAGGACAGAGAAAAGCTAATCAATGAGATAGTCTGTTACAGGCAGAGATTCATAGATCAGCATTATTTTTAAAAGATTACAAATACAGACCATTCTTCTTAGGCTAGAAAGAATAAAGACATCTAACATTTAGTTTATTCCTACAGGTCAGTCAGAACTGAGACCAAACTTCTTTGACAGAGTTGTATTGCCTGTGCTCAGACTTACACTTTTTACTGAATCAAAATTTTGAAATATTTATTTATAAGATAATCACTGTCTTTGAAATTAAGCAGTTTTTGCCCAGCCGGTGTGGCTCAGTGGTTGAATGTCAACCCATGCACCAAGAGGTTCCCGGTTCGATTCCTGGTCAGGCACATGCCCAGGTTGCGGGCTCTATCCCCAGTAGGGAGCATGTAGGAGGTGGCCAATCCATGTTTCTCTCTATGTCCCTCCTCCTGCTCTCTCTATAAAATCAATAAAAACATATTTTTTTAAAAAAGAAAGTAAGCAGCCCTGGCCGGTTTGGCTCAGCGGTTAGAGTGTCAGCCTGCGGTCCCGAGAGACCCGGGTTCGGATCCCGCTAGGGGCGTGTACCTCGGTTGCAGTTTGTCCCCGGCCCTGGTCGGTTGTGTGGGTGGCAGCCACTCGATGTGTCCCTTTCACGTCGATGTTTCTCTCTCTCTCTCTCTGTTCCTCTCTCTCCCTCCCACTCTACCTGAACAAAAAATGGAAAAATGTCCTCGGGTGAGGATAAAAAAAAAAAAAGAAAGTAAGCAGTTTTTGAAGAAATTTGTTTTTTGTACACATTCATATTTAATGACTACTATAAATAAGATATTCATAGTTTCCCCAGTTTCAGTCTAAACATATAATTTGGAGTAATGAGATACAAGTTCTGGTGCAGATTTTCTAATTCATTGTATGGCTCCAGACAAGCCATTTGGATCTCTGCCTTTATCCGCACTTCATAGGGATTTTAATACTTTTTTTAAACCTACCTTATAGGCAAGTAGGCATTAGATATATGTGACAACATTCTGCTGAAGTTACTAAACAAATGTAAAGTAAAATATGTAACATTTTATCATGCTATCTTCTAGTATTTCATCTGATTTTTATAATTGAACAAAAATAAAGATTACATATTTTTAGAACTACAAAATAAACAAATAAATAAATAAAATAAAAGTGAGCATAGCTTGGTGGGTGAGAACATGGGTGTTGGGCAGCCAGCCTGGATATAATTTCTTCTGTGACTTGGTGTATGTTATTTACCATCTCTAAGCCTTATTTTCTTAGTGTATAAATGATGGTAATCATTAAACTTAATGTAAGAGCTCAGTGGTATGATCTATAACGGACTTGCTGCAGTGCCTGGCACATAGTTAATGCTCAATAAATATTAGCATATTATGATCAAGACTTTTATTGAATGGAATCCTGAGGGGGAGGGAGGGAAATGCAATTTCTGGCCCTGTCTCTGCTGTTAACTGACTGTGTGATTTTGGGCAAATCAGGTGACTTCTCTGGTTTCGTTTTCATCTTGTTAAATAAAGGGGTGGCCTATGTGAGCCCTGGGGCCCTAGTCAGCTCTGAGACTTGATTGACAAACATTTGCTAGGAATGCAAACTGGACTTTGTCCTGGAGAACCTTATAATCTAGTGGAGGAAGAATCATCTGTTCATTTGTGAACTCATTCATTCATTCATTCAACCAATATTTAATGAGCATCCACTGTGTCAGGCATTGGACTAAGTGCTGAAGACAACATGGTTAGTGACAGAAACAAGTGTATGTTGTCTCAGATGCTATAATGAGCCATGTACAAAACTCTGTATGAGGATAGAAGAAGGGGCAGCAGTTAATTTCACGTGAGTTTTTGGAAAGAATAGAGCAAAGTTTCAAGAGATTTGGGTCTTCAAAAACACTTAAGTTTTTCTTAAAATAAACGGAGGAAGAACATTCCAGAAGAGGGGATGACACAGGCCAAAGGATGTAGTCCCTGGCCTGTGTGGGGACCTATGATTCCGGCAGTTGGTAGGACGCATGGGGCTTAGCCATGAGAGATGGGATTAGAAGGGCGTGGGGTTAGGCTGTAAGGAGCATTGAGTGCCAAACTCAGACGGGTAGATCTAATCTTATAGGGCACCACTGAAGGTGGTAAGACCGGGGCCAAAAGCAGGTCCTTTGGAAAGACAATATTGTATGGGTTTTTAAAAAATATTGCACATAATTTCTTTCTAACATGTTCCAAAAGGTAGGATCATCCTCCCTGTGCCTGAAACCATGTCAAACCCAAGACAAGGGCTCAGTCTCAGACTCCTAGGTGGACACAACGCCTCCATGTGGCTTTGCTGAGAGACAAGTACCTCATCCACCGGACAGTAGCCAGCTGACCACCTCCTCTCTCTGGGACTGGGAAGGAACCAGAAGAGGACACGGAGACTCCAGAACAAGCCTCACAAGGCTCACATACTGTAGTCTAGCTGTTCTCAACTCTGCTTTTGTGACAGGAAATCATCTTGATTTTTTTTTTTAATTCAGATAAAGAACCAGGTGAAATTACACGCAACCCTGGTTGGGCCCACGAGAGTGTATTTTGCACATATCATAGTAGACAATAGTTTAAAACTGCTCCTTTGGCCATATAGAGTCTTGTATGTCTTCATTCAGAGCCTACTTAATCTCTTTTTTACAAACATAGATTTCAGCAAGTTTGCTATCTGATTTCCAAGCCTAGTAGAACAGAAATCACAGTTAGAATGGGCGAGCGAGGCTGCTCACTGCAGACTGTCCCACTGACCGCTGGAGAACGGGGGACTGTCGTCCTGACTGACATGGATTGAGCATCACTGAGTGCCAGGCACACTCCAGGGGCCTTGACACAGTGCATTCCTCACAGTCACCCAGGCAGCTGACACGATTCTGTCCTGATTTTACAGTCGAAGTCACTAGGGCTGAACGATTTAAGTAACTGTCCCAAGATCACAGCAGGACAAAGGTACAGAGGTCTTTGGGACTCCAGGACCTAAGTTTTTACCTGCGACACCTGACTGCTTTTCTCAGGACAGTTAGAGCAAAGGAGGAGACCACAGTAGTTCTTAGAAGCAAAGGAAATTTTTTTTTAAGAGAGTGGTCTGGAAGCACGTGGGTAGCGGTGATCAGCCGTCCCGTTCTCTCCGACAGCAGAACACAGCACTGACCGTGTTCCCCACGGGAACGCCTATCACCCAAAGAAGCTCATGCTGTAGAGACTGCAGCAGAGGGATTCAAATAAATAACACATGCCCTGTCGACGTAAGAAACGTCCAAACCTCTAGAGAATTTTTATGAGTTTATTTAAGTCAAACTGACGATAATTGCCAGGAAGCAAAATCTCAGTGGCTTGAGAAAATGCTCTGCAGGATGGCAGTTTATTTTATACATTACAATCAAAGGAGGAGACATGAAATCCGTTGGTGGTAGATTAAGGGGGCAGGAGAAAGCAGAAGGGGAATCTCTGAGATTGGATAAAGAGTGCAATGGAGAGACAGATACTTCTTTTACATTGGTGCGTACAGGACAGTTAATAATGAGCATTGACAGCACATGGAGATGGTATGAGGGAGAACAAGACAGCAATGAGAGGCTGTGGTCTCATGGTCTGGCGTACCCTGACGGGTCTGGCCAAAGGGATCACTCTGACATTCCAAGGGTATGTTATCATAGATGCAAAAAGACAGTAGACAGGCTTGCTTAAGGTAAAGATTGACCTTTGTCAAGGAAGCTACAGGCCTACGATGGGACTACCTGCCACAACTTGCCTTTAGTTAGTAGTTTTATGTTGAGACCATCCTATGTGGTTATTTTTGGTCTCTGAGTTTGTAAGACTGACACACTGGCTTCCCCTGAGCTTGTCAGGTTCAGTATGTGCCTCTTTTTCATTCATAGCCCTTACTCATATTTTATATTTATTGAAATAAAAGGAAAAGACGATACCACGTGAATAGGGTACAAGTGATACTGTACATGTGTTGAACTAGTAATTATTATAATTATACTATTAATTTCCATTTACCATCACTTGACTAGGAGAAACTTCTTCAGGAACTCTATCCACATGGTTCCAATGATGTTCTTATGATTTATTTGGTTTGATATGCATATAAAGAGGCTTTTTTTTTTTTTTTCGGCCTTGAATTTGAAAAAAACTTGTGCTTTGGATATGCTTGATTTGAATTGTGACTGTGAGAAATAGACTAGACTCAGAAGGAGGGTTTACGTTTGGAGAAGGCTCACACTATGTGCTCTGCATTTAGTGTGTGTGGGGACCCAAAATCATTAATGGGAAAATGAGCATAGCTTCCTTCCCAATGAACACAGCTTCTCCACCCAGCCAAGCTCTCCCTGCCCTAACCCCACTCAAAAAAAAAAAAAAAAAAAGGGAGAGAAGAGTCTTGCTAGATAGGTAAGAAGCTTGATTGTTTTACATAACACAAGGACAGAGAGAAAAAGAGAGGAAGGGAGAAGGGAGAAAAGTGGAGAGGGAGAGAAGAGCCATGAGCCTGGGTGTGCTCAGCAGGGAGTGAGTGAACAGGAAGAGAAGGAGCCTCAGAGGAAGCAGCATGTGGGGTAGGAGGAAAACCAAAGAGCGTGGGGTCCCGGAAGCTGAGTAAAGAAGTGGGTCAGAGGGAGGGGTGACTGGCTGGGTCACATGCTACTGAGACATCAAAGAAGATGAGGACCGAGGGTTGACCTTGGGGATTTAACCACATAAAGGTCACTGGTGATTTCGACAAGTGGTTTTCAGGGAGTGGTGGAGGGCAAAGCTGAGTGGACTGGGTTTGGGAGAGAAAGAAAGAAGGATCCGAGACAGTGAGCGTTGGCAATTTTCTCAAAGAGTTTGCTGCAAAGGGGAGCAGGGTGGATGCTGGAGGGAGAAATGAGGTCAAGAGAGGAACTTTCTTTTTATCGGAGACATAACAGCATCTTTATGTGCTGATGGAAAAGAGAGAAAAATTTATCATCCAGGGAAGAAAGGGCAGAACTACTGGAACAGTGGCCCTGATTTGATGAGAGAAGACGGAGAGTGAGCGAAGTGGGGGATGGGCCTTGACTGGACACGCAGAGGGCTGGCGTGAGGGCTGATGGAACAGGAAAGATGGATGCAGGTGCTGGCAGGTGAGAGGCTGTGGCCAGGGAGTCTGTGGAAGGTCTCTTCCGATCACCTTCTCAGTATCTGAGTGGTCATCGTTCTGACAGCAGCTGCAGAGGGGCATTGCTGAGAACCTTATGAAAAAAAAAAGGAAAGTGAGTTTGGAAAATAACTAAACCATACAATGCAACATATGTTCTTTATTCCAACAGAGGATTACCAGGACCTCATTGAAGACATAGTTCGAGATGGCAGGCTCTATGCGTCTGAGAACCATCAGGAAATACTTAAGGTAAGTATGTACTTAAGGTAGACTCAGCAGTCATCCCCAGGGCTCCCCAGGACCCCCCGGAGGAAGTTTTCCTTTTGGTCCATATGGCTGCCTTTCAGACATGGAGCCTGCTGTGGGCTGAGTTCAGTTTTATAGCTTCACCAGACTTAGTTTAAAAAAAAAAAAAAATGCAGGAGGCTGTCTTCAATGCTGTCAAGTGAAGTTGTATTTTTAAATTTGGAGGAGCAGTGGGAACCTTGTTCATCATACATCCAAGCCTGCAGCAAATTGTGCTTTCATGTGAATTCTCCAAAGAGTTGAAGATGCTTGGCTCTTTATCCTTCAAGGGTGAAATTCACCAAATGTTATATACTTATAAGTATTTACCAATAAACACTTGCCATATCACTAATCAAATAAATATTCCCCAAGTTCCAAAGTTGTATCTCATCTAATTTAGAAAAGGAAAACAGTTTTTTTTTATGTATTAAACTTTCCTTTATAAAAGTAATACATGCATGTAGTCTGGCCGGTGTGGCTCAGTAGTTGAGCATTGACCCGTGCACCAAGAGGTCACCGGTTCAATTCCCAGTCAGGGCACATGCCCAGGTTATAGGCCAAATCCCCAGTGGGGGGCATATGGGAGGCAGCCAATTGATATTATCTCTCATTGATGTTTCTATCTCTCTCTCCTTCTCCCTTCTTCTCTCTCTAAAAATAAATAAATAGATAAATAAACAAACAAACTGGGGAAAAAAATTAGAGGAAACCATTTTCACAAAGTGTTTTTCAGATAATCAGCCATTATAGTTCCATTGGCAAAATGTCGGAATGTTTAAATAATTTGGCCCAGTAACAAAAACTCTGTTCTTTTTAGGATAAGAAACTGATCAAGGCGCTGTTTGATGTCCTGGCCCACCCCCAGAATTATTTCAAGTACACAGCCCAGGAGTCCCGGGAGATGTTTCCAAGATCCTTCATCCGACTGCTACGTTCCAAAGTGTCCAGGTTTTTGAGGCCTTACAAATGAGTCTGCCCACAGGGCTCTCCGGCCCGAGTTCCGCCTGTGGGCTGGCGGGGTGCAGCTGTCTGCTTCTGCAGCCAGCCTCGTTGGATACCGCTGCCTCCAGGAGCAGTGACTCGTTAGATTTTAATTTTTATAGATAATACAGATATTTTGGTAAATTGAACTTGGTTTTTCTTTCCCAGCATTGTGGATGTGGACTGAGAATGGCTCTGAGTCCCACTCACTTCTCATGGCTGTAGGCAGAGGTGTTGGATACGTCAAGGGCTGGCTGAGCTGGACCTCAGTCAGCTCAGGTGAGATTCACCTGTCCTTCCTGGTTCTCACTCCTCCTCAACAGGGCTGTGATGGAAAGGAAGCTGCGGAAGGGGCTGCCTTGTCTGAAACTTCAGCTTCCTCCAGCCCAGCCCTCCGTAAGGAAGCCCTGTGCGCCCAGGAGCAGGCTCTGGCCAGGCAGAGCAGGAAAGGAGGAAGGGAGGGAGGGAGAGCCCTTGAGGCACCATCCCCACACCTGAGACCTGGGAGGACTCCGTGTCTCCACAGCCTTCTCCTCCCGCCTGTGTGACCTACATTTGATCCCAGGAGCTCGAGTTCATTAAAAAAGACTTAAAGCAGCCCTGGCCGGTTGCTCAGTGGTTAGAGCATCTACCTGAGGACTGAAGGGTTGCAGGTTTGATTCCAGTCAAGGGCACTTGCCTGGGTTGCAGGTTTCCCCCGCCCGACCAAGGCTGTGCAGGAGGCAATCAGTCGATGTCTCTCTCTCACATTGATGTTTCTCTCTCTCTCCCCCTACATCCCTCCCAGTCTCTCTAAAAAAAGTCAATGGAAGAATATCCTCAGGCGAGGAGTAACAAAAAATAAAAGTAAAAGTAAAATACTTAAAGCAGAAAGGATTAGAACTGAAAAGATGAAAACAAAGCACTTCGTCCGACATAATAACGTAGGCCCATTGACGCCTCCCCCGTGGGCAGCTCCCAGCCGCCGCAAACACACAGCGCTGGTTTCCACACCAGCCACGCCTTCGGACCTCTGCTGAGCAGTGTCAGGGCCTGGAGCCTTCGGTCAGACGTGGTCTCCTTGGTGGATGAGAATCATCTCCCTTCACCCTGAGTCAGGGCTGCCAAGGGACCTATGTCCACAGTGGACCCACTCCAGGCATCCGAGGTCCAGGTAGGACACAGTGCAGACCAGGCTGTTACGTGTGCCTTCCTTCCCCACTGTCCCAGGTCAGAGACCAACCCAGCTCCGAGGACATGAACAAGCACGGCTGAAGGTGGTCTCACCTCTTAATGGTCACAGCACTGCTAGAAACAGCTACACAAATCCTGGCCTCCAGGTCCCTCAGAATCATCTCACTTTCAGTGAGCACAGCGGGCCCCACCATCATTTTCTCCCACAGGAACTTGAATTTTCAATATTATTGAATTTTTAAAATTTTAAATCCATAGGCAAAAATCTCATTACGGTAAATAAAAAAGATTTATATCAAACAAGCTGCCATTTCCCTAATGAATGGGCTGATGATACACAACCATAGTGTTTTGTTATTTCATAAAAAACTAACTGTACATACAGTTCTCTATACCAAAGTACTAAAACATGGTTAACAAATACTTTTGAAGAAAATGAAGACTATTTCATTATTGTTGAACTTATTTTTCACCTCAATGGGTTTAAAAAAATTTTAATAACATTAATCTTTGAAAAATACTCATCAGCCCTGGCCTGTTTGGCTCAGTGTTTGGAGCATCAGCCTGCGGACCAGAGAGATCCGGGTTCAGTTCCCACTAAGGGCACGTACCAAAAAAAAAAAAAAAAAGAAAAGAAAAATCCTCATCAAACGTTTCTTCTTTATTTGGATGGATCCTAAATACCCATTTCCAAATTTCTCTAAAAAATTTTAAACTTCTTTATTAAAAAAAAAAATCATTAAAACAAGCAGCTGGAATTTGTAATACCAGAACTTTGCCTACATTTCTGAGTCCAACCATAGATGAAAATTCAAATGTAATAGAACCGGAGTCAGTGACCTGACCGATGTGGAGGTGGGTGAGATAAACTGCACATCCTTGTCCAAGCACAGCATGACTTTGTGCTCATGACGGTGCGGATCCGGATTGCTGATTTCCAAGAAGGCCAGGGGTGGGGACGGGGCTGCAGGAACCTGGTCTCTGTGAAGCAGCCTCCGGGAGCAGGCCGTGCACCAGAGCTGAGCTCCTAGGACAAGCACGAGCCACTGGGGCCCTCCTGAAGCTTCCTTTCTACACCAGCCAACCACCCTAATTAATGCTATGGTCCTGTTGGGAGGCTGGCTGGCTGGGGCTGCTGTTGCCACCTGCTAAACCAAATATTTATTGAACATGTGCTCTGTGCCAGGCACTCTTCTAGGCCCTAGGGATGCACAAGACAGACAAAGATTTTGCCCTGGTGGAGCTTACATTTTAGAGAACAAATAAATAAATCACCAATGAAAAGTATCAGCTAGTAGTAAGTGTTATGTTGAAAATTAAAATGAGTTAATTAAACAGATGACTGCATGGCTACTTCAAATATATTTTTATTGATTTGAGAGAGAGAGGAAGGGGGCAGAGGGAGAGAGAGAGAGAGAGAGAGAGAGAGAGAGAGAGAGAGAGAGAGAGAGAAACAGTGGTTGATCCGTTGTCTCCCATACACACCCCAACCCCACAACCTGGCCATGTGCCCTGACTGGGAAATGAACCATCAACCTTTTGGTGTATGAGATGATGCTCAACCAACTAAGCCACACCGGCTAGGTCTGCATGGCTACTTTAGAATTAAATTCAATGACAGGAAGGACTCAACCTTGGTATTAAGACACTGGCATTTCCACTTCCTCTCCTTGGGAAACACACTGTGAACTCAGCCCCCATACCTTGAGGAAGCCACAGCAGCTTGCAGATAGCCTATGGGGAGAGGAACCAGCTGAGCTCCCAGGTGACAGCTGGCAGAACTTGCCAGGTATGGGATGAGCCGTCTTGGGAACGGATTCTCCAGCCCCAAGTCGAGCTGTCCCAGCTGATGCTTCATGGAGCAATCCCCATTGAGCCAAAAGTACAGACTTGTGAGCAAAATCTATGATTATCATCATTTTAAGCTACTAGATTTTGGGGTGATTTCTTATGCAATAATAAGACATTGGGAAAAAGAAGATTGAGAGTTCAAGTTTGGCCATTCCAAATATGAGACGCCTATGATATATCCAAATGGAGGTTCAAATAGGCGATTGGTTCTATGTAGCCCCAGAGAAGTCAGGGCCAGAATAGAATTTTTTTTTTTTTCATCCTCACCTGAGGACATTTTTCCATTTTTTGTTCAGGTAGAGTGGGAGGGAGAGAGAGGAACAGAGAGAGAGAGAGAAACATCGATGTGAAAGGAACGCATCGAGTGGCTGCCACCCGCACAACCGACCAGGGCCGGGGACAAACTGCAACCGAGGTACGCGCCCTTAGCGGGAACCGAACCCGGGTCTCTCAGGACCACAGGCCGACGCTCTAACCGCTGAGCCAAACCGGCCAGGGCCAGAATAGAAATTTTAATGTCACAGAATAAAGACATGAAACTGATTGAGGTCACCTGGGGAAGGTATGTAGACAAAAGAAGACCAAGGAGCTCTGAATTCTGGGATTTCTGTGAGCACAGGGACCAGGACTTGGAGGAGCTGCTCCTTAAGTAAACAGGAAGAGGTCAGAGCTGAGCTTCACCCTCCCTCCAAGAGCTTGTTCCGTGGAAGTGGAATCTGCACAAGTCCTTCCTTCCAGCTGTGGATATTGTTCTTGAGCCATTTACTCAAGTGCCACGTTTATGGACGTAGCCAAGTTTCCCTTGAGTTTCTTATGCTAATAAAAGTGTTTGCCTTTTCACATTAACAGATGATTCTCTTCACTGAGGAAAATTGCTTCCTCTGAATCATTCCCAGGCTGTTAAGTGTGTTGTCTGTAGGCACTCACTGGATTTAGGTTTGCAGGTGATTTTAAAATGGTCATGTAACTTGGGAAAGGCGGCGGTCGTACCGCACACAGCACAGACTCGCTTGCCTGCGGGCTGGTATTTTCGGGAAGATGCACCAGCGCCATTGCTTGCTGCCGACCTCTGGGAAACTCAGGGGCCCACACCAGGCCCAGCCTCGCTCTTCTCCTCACCCCAGAAGAGGTGCTTCTTACTAGGGCTGTCAGCATCTCCACTTCCTGTCACACAGCAGGATGGGTCCTGAGAGCCTTACCCAGTCTACATCACTCTTAGCCTGTATTTGGGAGGCAAAATGGGTTAGGGGAGGCTGGAGTGAAGCAGTTCCTCACCAAGTCTACGGGGCCTTGTTACCCATGGCCTTCTTGCTAGGCAAACTATCCTCTGAATCCAGGTCCTGGGTGTGGCTAGTAGTAGCCCATTCACCGGAAATGAGAAGCCTTGCTGAGCTTCCTTTCTGTGACATCTACTACTTCAGGGGCTCGTAAGCCCAGCTGAGGAGCATCCTGAATATTTGTGGTACCCTGCTTCCTTCTCCCTTCTGGCAGTCCTGATCGGCCTGCAGGAGACCAACCTCCGGCGGCTAATGGCCCAGCAAGGCTGCTTCTGTGATGGACAGCCACAAAGACATAACTACTCAGCAGGGATAACTTTCCAGAGAACACATTAGGATAAAAATAAATTTAGAAAATGAAACCACTTTAATTCACAGGTAGGTTGTTCTAGCTGAATAAAAGGGATACGAACTAAATCCATCTACTGCAAACAATGAAATAACTCAGCATTGCTTGGTTTTCAGAGTATCTCATTAGGGAATGTGACCCCATACCTTAATGACTAATAATTCTTTATTATGTGTTTGCTCATTCATTCATTTATGTACCATATTTATTGAGGGCTTACTAAATGCTAGGTATTATAGGAGCTGGAGATACTGTAGTGAGCAAAATAAAGTCTCCACTCTTGTGGAGTTTACATTCTAATGGAGGGATACAGAAAATAAACAACATATATTATGAAGTCAAGTGTGATAACTATTTTTGTTTGTTTGTTTGTTTGTTTTTGTTAATCCTCACCCGAGGACATTTTTTGATATTTTGTTCAGATAGAGTGGGAGGGAGAAAGAGAGAGAGAGAGAGAAACATAGACATGAAAGGGACACATCGAGTGGTTGCCACCCACACAACCCAACCAGGGCTGGGGACAAACTGCAACCGAGGTATGTGCCCTTAGCAGGAACCGAACCCGGGTCTCTCTAGACCGCAGGCCAATGCTCTAACTGATGAGCCAAACCAGCCAAGGCTCCATTGATTTTTTAGATAGAGTGGAAGGGGGGAAGGGGAAAGAAACATCGATGTGAGAGAGACACATCGATTGGTTGCCTCCCTCAGAACCCCGATGGGGACTGAACCTGTAACTCAAGTACTAGTCCTTGACTGGAAATCAAACCCAAGACCCTTCGATCTGAGGGCCAACGCTCTAACTACTAAGCCAAACAGGCCAAGGCAAGTGTGATAACTATTTTAAAGAAAATAAATAAGATTGAAAGGATAGAGGATGAGGAGGTGATGGGAGGACTTGCTATTTTAGATGAGCTCATCATTAGAGCCATGAATCCAGGTCCTTCCGGGG